TTACTTGCTGAGGTGATTCACAGCTCCGATCAGGAAGTCAGTGAGCTTTGTGACTCCACAAGAAGAAGCATTGCTTTGCTAACTGGGTATGTCTGCCATGAACTAGTCTAACATATTCAGTCATTACTTTTACTAGGCTTGTGTGAACGTTTTATTTATTTTGTGTCAAAGGGTTCTTTGGGTGAATAGGTAATGTTTTGTCTTCTCTGTTGTGGTTTGGTGTTTAGAACTTCCTATTAAGTTAATTGTTTGTTGCTTAGTAACTAGTTCAACTGGTGATTTTCATTCACCAAAAGCACAATTGGTATTTCTTTTTTTAGGCATCTATTTCTAGACCTTGGTAATCATATTACTGCATGCTTTTTATCACCATTAGGGCTCATTCACAAAGCAGAACTGTGTCAGGAAGAATATGCAGATTTCTGCGGCTGGATTCATAGGCGGATGTGGATAGTGACGTCTGCTGAGCCTGTACAAAGCAATCACAGGGTAAAACAATCACGGCTGTCCCCACCTGTCCTCTGGCGTGCAGATCAAATCACACGTGGAGTGACTATTACTATTACAACTATTCACATTCGCCTGTGAATCAACTCAAAGGAATTTACTGGATTCTTTCCGAAATGGCACATTTTGTTTTGTAAGGCTAAGAAAAAGAAGTAGGGCTTTTAGGGTGTCCAAAATTGCCATCAAACAAATTTGTAAAAGCAATAGGCTTTATTTAATTACATACGTAGAGATTGTAAAGTTGGTCTCCACAATGTCGACGCATTTCACACATGCTTCATCAGGAGTGTGTGGTCTGTAGTGATAAGTATTCAAAATATGTGAGGGAAACCTCCCTCTTTATATATCCTTCCCAGCGAAAGAGAAATGTTTATCTCCCATACTAGCAGCTACTGTGATTAGGAACCAGTACTTTTATTGAAAGGTATGTACACAGTTGATGCACAATTATCCTTTGCACCCAGATGCAACAAATTTATTTATAATTAACCATGCATGCCTTACCTTATGTAAGCTCTACGTCCAATCGACCTATGCACACTTACCTTGCTCTTTATTGCATTGCTGGGCTTCTTTCTATATTTTTGTCCCCACTCAGATTGCTGTTTATCACATAGCTGGGTTTCCTTCTGCACTTTTGTACCCAACTCACTAAAATTGTATATCTATAATTTAGAGTTCACAGGGTTTATATGTTAAATCAGCATTACTATACCGATTTTTCTTGGCTTCTATTGTGGAAGTGGACCTCTCCCTCCGGTCTCCACCACAGTGGCGCATCTACTGCTTTTACTGGCATCCCCCTCCTATCTGCATGTATATTTTTTGGTTTAGCATCCTGTTATGTAATATAACTTTAAGGACATGTACTTACCTATATTAGTTATAGTTTATATACTTAGCACTACAGATCACGTCCCTCCTGATGAAGCATGTGCAAAATGCGTCAAGATTTTTGAGACTATTTACAATCTCTAAGTTTAAAATAATCAGGACCACATGAGAGGAATGTATGGTTATTCTAAAAAGTAAGCAGTTTCAAGCGGTTTGTTTGATGGCAGTTTTGGACACCCTAAAAGCCACTTCTTTTTCTTAGTTTTCAAACTTGCTGATACCTCTGGAGTGTTGGTGTCAACCCACTAAAGGAAAACTACCCAGTACAAGTAACACTATTTTTTTAAAATGTGTTTTATTTGTGTTTGTTTTTCAGAACACAACAACTCAACAAAAACGTTGAACATTACAACAAGCTTCTGTGTGTGCACCTTCTTCCATTTACACACAGAAGCATTTGTTTTTAAAACACAACTTAATTATACCAGTGGCTGCTGTTGGTAAAAATAATAATTTCTGTCACACAAACAGGGTTATGCTGAATATACAGGAGCATATCACACTTCCTGTGGCATGACCACAGAGCTTTTCTTGAAAAGGATACTGTCACGAAGCTTATAGGAGACCTTATCACAAAAAAAGGAAAACATACACAATAGTAAAGTACAATTTTAATACATAAAAATACAATTTCTGCTCTCTCTTGCAGAACTACAAGTGCAGGCAGGATCTTCATTATCCGACACTTACAAATGTGTTTGATGTCTGGGTCTCTGTGATTTGTGTTCTGGTGCCACCAACCATTACATCAGTAGTGAGTCCTTGTAAATCTGTGAAGATTGGCTGCAATGTAGTAGGTGTTGGTAAGTATTAGGACTGTATTTACTATTTTCTTTAAACCATTCTCCCAACAGAGTCTCTTTAAAGGAAAACTTGAAATGAGAGAAACATAGTGGCGGGTGTTGATGAGTTGTGTTTCTGATCATGTTTCAGTGGCTGTCATGGTGACACTCTTGCATCAGTACTGCTCATCAGATAATTTTCGGACTGGCTTCTTTGACCAAAGTTGATGGAATTATTGACAAATGATGGGCAGCCAATGAGGCCATACACGGTTTGAATTTTGGTCAGCATGACTCAACCAGTGTATATAGCCAGCTTTAGTCAGTGATTCAGAAAATAAAAAAACCTAGTGAATCAGCATAACAGCTAGTTGGCTAGCATTTGAGGAGGTGGTCAGTAAAATCCGCCCCCTTATTTTTCTTGTGACAGGTTTCCCTTCACTGCTTGAGCTCTCATGTCACCATTGGTAGAATTCTCCTTTATGGCAAACATGTGGCCTGTCTTTACAGACTAAATATTTACATATTCTGAACAAGCAGTAACACTCTTAAAGTGACATTAAAGTCACAATCCCCTCCCAATGCTGCTTTAAGGACTTACCTTAAATAATACTTCTTGAACCGATCATCTTCTTCCTTCCACTTGTATTCAGCAATCCCTCCAGCGCAGGTGCCGGTCTCTGATCCAGCACAGACTCCTCGTGTCTCATGGTGTCTGTCCGACGTGCATGCTCATGGCTGCGTGCATTCACTGTGCCCCTCCTCTTTCCTATTCACCTCTACTGTGTCCCTCTTTTCCCCGCTGATGATCTCTACTGTGCATGCACCCCTCTCATCCTCCAGCAAGGCTGCTGAAGAAGCTTTAGATCTACAGCCGGGAGCGAGCTGTGGAGACAGAGGTAAGTATCTACCTTTTTGGTAACTTTTTTTATTTTTTTTACATGTTTTTGCAAATATCTACTCTATCTTGCTAGAGTTTAATTCTACTTTAAAAATCCTCTGTATCTAAGCATGGTGGAGAAATTCATCTTCAACGTTTACAGGCACTGAAATCACAACTTTATTTTCTGTGAAAGCAAAATCTTGCCAACCTGCAAGAGTTTTCTTGTAAATACAATCAGAGTCTTTTTTCATATTTGAAGATCTTTGTGAACAAATTACTTCACAATGCTTGGAGCTACAAAGATCAGTGATGGGTTGTTTTGAATCTCCACTGCTTGTTTATCGTATGCTTTAGCCTTCTCACTGCTGCTGTAACTATTATGGTGGCTGCAATGCTGGCATGCAAACAAATTGGTGGTAGAAGTGATCATAACTTTTTCATGTGGGTAAAGGTGCCATCGACCCATTCTAAACCCGTCATGTGTCCTGGGCTTACCTGTCCCTCCTGGGTGTGTGGGACCCGGGAGGTGACACTAAATGTCTAATAGACTTCTGATGTCTCCTCAAAGAGACCATATCACCTGCACTATGCTATGCCATTGATAGCAATATTAAAAAAATAAAACATTTAATATAATAAATTTAAAAAATCCCCCCAAATTTTTTAAAAGCCACCTGCGTGCACACATGTACAAATGCAAACAATTTTGGATGTGCACGCACATGAAAATGACCATCACACCATGCATATTACGTTGTAGGTTATCGCGGGCTAAACCAATGTGCTTAAAGGCTTTAAAACCATTGCCTAAGGACAGTTTTGGGTACTGTGGTTTTTTGCAGCTTCACAGGTGCACAGAATTGTGAGGCTTGACATACAGTATTTGGTATCTATTTATGTGGCACAACCTCATCTTTTATATTTTAATAAACATTGGGGATTATATTGTGTTTGCGACATAAAAAAGTTCAACGACCACTATTTTGTGCTACGGGGTCTCCGCTTCCAGAAAATATAGAAAGTTTTGAGATTTAAAGTGCGTTTCTATGTTCAAAATATGCATTTTAGTATGTGTATGCAAAATGAAAAAATGGCTCACGCAGTGAAAGGTTAATTGTCCATGACCTGGGTACAGGTGCAGTGCAAACATGATTATAAAAAAAGAAAAAAAATCTTCATTAGCAGAAGAAAGATGGTAATTACTTTAAATGAAAATAATTACTAATTACTAAAGCTTCATGACAAGAAATGTATTTCCTATATATCATTTCTAGTTTTTTTTTTAGGTACACTTAAAAAAAGATTGGCTGGGTGTACAGTAAATAATTTTACCAGTATGTGTTATCAAATTAGGAATTATAGGAAAACCTTTTCTCTGTGTATTATAAACATACAGTATATGTTTGTGGGGGCAGCAATATTTACTCACTACATATGCAGGCTGTGCTACTTGCTCTTCAGTGCTGTACAGTGGTCATGCTTTACTTGTTCCTCATATAATGGAGCATCAATGACAAATTAGAATTGTCCTTTTTTCATTCATTTCAGGTGGAACAAGTGCGAAAATTTAAAACCTGATAAAATGGCTGATAAAGACCAAGCAAATGATGCTGTTGGGGATGGATTACCAGAAGTGAGTGATCAGCAAGTACATTTGAATGAGCCAGTTATACCATCCGAGGCGAAATGTGAAGGCTCTAATCCGGATGTGACCCCTGAAGGTTTTTCTATTCCTCCTAACAAGCATGGTGAAAAACTGAAGCCCAAAATTCTCTGTGGGTATCTTTACAAGTTGGGGATGAAAGGACCTCTCAAAGCCTGGAAGTATCGCTTTTTCTCCTACGATGACAAGAAGTGCCGCTTGCTCTACTACAGAATGGCTAAGGATGTCTGTCCTCTGGGAAGTATAGATCTTTGTGCTGCTACATTTCATTTCAGTGTGGATGCAGAGGAGGGAGTGTTTGAGATTAAAACACCAACAAAATCTTTTGTCCTAAAGGTATGAATGTGAATAATTTTGATGTTTCTTAAATAACTGTAATGCAAAAGTAATTCAGGTTCTTTTACTGAATTTATTATAAGACAAACAGCAATGTACAATACACATTACAGCAGGGGTGTTGCTAGGATTGTGAAAGACCTGGGCCAACTTTGGGCACCTAAAGAAACCAATGATGTAGCATGGCATGCCATGGCGAATGATGGGTATAGTCAGTTTTTAACAGTGGGATGGGGTTAAATAGAACCTGAGCCTACTCGCACATATGCCACAGTCCTTGTACCGTCAAAGTATGGAGTATGTAATGTATGATATACTGTAGCATATAGAGTGTAGGGTTTAGGAGTATGTAATATACAAAGTTCAGGTGTCATGAGTGTGTAATGTACTTCATGCAGGAGTCAGCAATATGTAATGCACTGATTGCGGGAGGCAGTTGTATTTAATGCAGAGTGCAGAGGTCAGTAGCATGGAATAAATAGATTGTGGGGTTATTGGAATGTAGTGTACAAAGTGCAGGGTTCAGTAATATGTAATACTTGGGGTGTATGAGGCAGTAGTATGTGCTGCACAGAGTACAGAGGTCAGTAGTATATAAGATATAGAGTTCAGGGGTTATTAGTATTTTATGTAAAGAGTGCAGAGGTGAGTATTATGTAGTGTACATAGTTCAGGGGTCAGTAGCATGCCATTCACAAGTGAAGGGGTCAGTAAAGTACAGGGTGTAGGAGTCAGGGTGCACTTTCAGACAACATTCACCTATTTTGTTTGCCCCTCCCCCCTGACCTAATAGATCTCAACCTCATTCCTATGCCATTGACCTCCAGGGATTGTTTGCATCCTATGCCTCAAGTATGGGGCTTTTCTACCTGAAGGAAAGGAGAGGGCCAGGGATAGTAAAGTTGGGGTTAACATAGGGCTAGATGATGCTGGATGTCCTCCAGCCAGGAAATGACGTGGGATCTCTCTGACTTGCTGCAGCCTCTAATGCATAGTGGGACAAGGGAGTAGGTCGAGGGTGACTTTATAGTATCCAGTACAGTACTGGCACTTGTCCAGATGAGGAAAGAGGAAAACCAAAAAAGAGGAATAGAGTTTAGACTCAGACTTGTTTGTGGCAGGTGATTTACCATAATGCTTAGTAAGCTTACCATTTTTTTTTTTTGCTAATATATAGTTGAGGGAAACATTCCAAAACCAATATTAGCTCAGATATATAGACAGTCCCCATATATTAGTGTTTATTGAGTCCTTGAGTTTTATAGGATGGCTATATGTCTCTCCATGTTTTCAATGAAGGAAAATGAATGCATGAGAACCTCCTATTAAGTGAAATGGCACCAAAAGTAAATGTCCCTGTAAAGTAGTCTATACACACAGCGAATTTCAGTTGGTTCTTGATAAACCGGCCGGAATTTGCTGCGTGGGTGCCTCTGGCTCCCTTCCGTTCGGCATCCCTAATCAGCTGATCGAAGGAGCAGTTTGGGAAATTCTCTGACGACTGGTGCTTGAAGGCCAATCATCTGTTAGCTCAGTTTGGGTATTCTGACAGCGGCCGGCAGCTGCTGTCGGCATATAATAGAAACAGCAGGGGATTTCTAGATCAATGCTGGCAAGCGTCGATGGAGAAATCTGTTACATTTTTTTTTTGTTCAGCCCAGGTTCAACGAGAAAAATAGAACTGTGTATACCCAGCTTTAAGCCTTCTATAAACACTGCAGGAAGTTTTAGCAAACATAAATTCCTTATTTGCTTCTGTTCTGTAGATACTGAGATAAGGCCTCACTTGCTGAGAGCCTGGTGGGGGGGGGTCAGCTTACAGTAATCACATTAATAGCTCCGGGCAGTGTGGTGACAAGAAACATAGCACTCGCTTGACATTCCTTTAGACATCAGGCATTCTTTGAGAGAGTGCACACTAAAGATGAAACTCTCATGCCAGGAATTTGGTAGGGGTGTCTGTCATTTGACATCGGTACAGAGGTCTACGAAAAGCAATCAGCCAAGTTAAATGATATTGGAAATCCTGTGTGCAGAGGGCCTTAGTTGCAAGGAAAGTCATTTGAATCGTTGTCATTTTTGACAAATTATGGCTGGCTGTACATAGAACTAGAAAGGTCATATGGATAATAAAAAATAAAAAATGGCTTGTGTGGCATTTATAAATGTCCCTTTTTTTTGCAATTTCTGAACAATCTTATTTGCATACCTTTATTTAGCTGAGTTTCTGAACCTGATTTACACTTTTCTTATTTGTTCCCTTTTGGTCTGTTTAGTATCCCATTGAAAGCATTTTGTTATTCTATATAATCGTTTGGGGGAAAAAAGTTGTTGATCTTGTCAGAAATTCAGAGCTGTCCTGTGTGCATTTCCCTGTCTATCTCAAAAAGTCTGTTTAGCCTTCTTAGTTGTTATTTTGGACTACAGAATGATTGGCCTTAATGTTGTAGAGATTTGAGAGTGGGAGTGCTTGAGTCGTTTAGCAAAAGACACTGGGCAAGGCTGTTACCACCATAAAAATGCTGTGCCCGCAACAGGATTTAAGGCCTTGTTCACACCAGATACAGTTTCACCCGATTCTGGCCAGAACGCATCGCATTGCGGACGGCTCACTATGTTGTGGGGCAGGAGGGGGCGTGGCGGTCCATTGAAGTGAGTGGCACCGTAGCCATGCCCTCCGTCCGCAATGCGATCGGCCGCACGGGATCGCGAGGCACATTATGCCTGCGGTCCGCGCCGAACAAAATGCTGCAAGCACTATTTTGATCGGACCGGACTGCAGGCATAATGTGCCATGCGATCCCGTGCGGCCGATCGAATTGCGGCCGGAGGGCATGGCTACAGCAATGCGATGCAGTGTGTTCTGGCCAGAATCGGGCCGGAGCACACTGTATCTGGTGTGAACGATGTCTAAGAGCTGAGTGCATTTATGACACATTAACGGGTATTTTTCCGTTGTTTCAGGGTCTTTAAAGGGATAAAACATGGAGAAATGTGCATGTATTGCAGAGATGTTGTTAGAGTTGTAACAGTTGTAGAGCATACAATCAGTTCTAGGCATTCTGTTATTTGGGCTGTTCTGATGAATTTAGTAATTACATTTAGGATTTAGTTAAATTATTACTATTAACTATTCTTTGCCATTGAGGCTTTAAGTATACCCAATATTAAGAAAAATCTGTCCTCTATTTCAGAGCCTCTGGTGGCACAAATGCAGGGGTGCTTTGGTGCAAAAATAGCAGCAAAGCTTCCTGGATTTCCCATGCCCCACACCCAGATTTTGACAAAGAAGCCAGGAGAGATATTCCAATAGTCTGGCTTAGGGGGCTGGGGGGCATGGAGGGTGCCATGCCTCAACTCTGTGTCAGAATTTGCATGGGACACAAGAGGTTTTGAATTAAAAACAACCCTAGTGTGCAGGAAACTAAAGGTGTCTGCACTGTTTAACCTGCAGGACTTTTTTTTTACCCCACTTGAGGTTGCAGTTTGTACAGGTTGTCTGATTGTTTACCCTGACATAAGTGTACATTAGACTGATTCTATGCACATATAACCTTTTCTTGCCTAAACAGCATTGTTTCTGCAATTAGAGTTTCTGTTTATGGATAAATTGGGCCAAAAGACATTGTCATCAGTAGGATGTGAAAGAAATGGCCACTTTTAGCCTTCAGCATTAGTCTGAGCCCTCAACCGTAATGTAATTATTGGTATTACATCATATAACAAACTGCCTGTCTGTCAATGCAAAAAATACATATTATTTTACATGATTTATGTAGCACCAAACGCTTGCGCAGCACTTTACAATTTAAAGAGGGACAGTACAGTTACAAGATGGTTTGGAGGGACCTGCTTGTGAGAGCTTACAATCATGCGATTTACATCATACCAGTGACGTGCCATGCCTTCTGTGCTGGGCGAGGCATTCCCCAGCCCCGCCCCCAGCCTGCCGAAGCTCCACCCCGTCATGTCCTGCTGAAGCCCCGCCCCCAGCTTGGTCACCAAACTATGGGGGGAGGAGGAAGGGGGAAGCCCACTGCTGTGTAACCTAACTAGCTGTCAAAAGCTAACTAGCTGTAATTAACAGGCAGCGCTCCATCCATGACAGGTTACACAGCGGTGAGGCTTTCCCTGCTGTGTAAACTGTTACAAGCCGCTCTGAATGGAGAAAAAGCTGTCAGCTTCAGACTTGAAGCTGACAACTTTTTTCTTCATAATACTAGGTGAGGCTCTGCCTCCCCTGACCGCACGTCCCTGATTATCATACATAAAAGAAATAGACACTGTCAAGTTTTGCCTGATGAAGGGGTTTCTGTGTGTCCCCGAAACGTCGCACTAAGTGTGTTATTTTGCTTTTGATGTACGTCAATAAATAGACATAATCGATTTACTATTGGAGTGCCGGTGTCTATTTATTTTCTGCATTACTTTGACGGTTGCCATACGTCGACTACTGAGCACCCAGGATATTTTGTTGGACGTGCGGTCAGGAGTGCAATGGGTACAGAACTGTAATGTGATTATCATACTTAGTTCACTTTATCACAAGTTAAAATGTGCCTACCTTTAAATGCTGTTACCCTGTTTCCCCGAAAATAAGACCTACCCCGAAAGACCTAGTACTATTTTCAAGATTCCTGTAATATAAGACAGTGTCTTATTTTCGGGGAAACATGGTAGTTCACTTTGAGGTTGGGTCCTTGCCATGTAGTGGGTTCAAAGAGTCCAGGTGCCAGGCACTTTAAAGAGATCCTGTCAGTCTCTAAAAAAGAGCATGATGCAAGTTCCCTGCAATAAAAGAGCTTCGGCTTTCTGGTGGCCCCATCTTCTACCTTCCCTTCCTTCCAGTGCTGTAGCCTCAACACTTCTGGGAATGTCAGATGCCTGTGTTGCATTGTTGGGTTGTATCGTCTTGGATAATACGGGATCTTCTGCTAACCAAAGCCATTACTTTTGGAAAATAGTTAGTAGTTGCTCCAGCTTTTTAGAGTACATCGTAATGAATCTTAAATTTGAGGCATGTGTTGTGTTTTTTTTGTGAGACTTACCAACAATTCTTTCTGCATTATTTCTCTTTATTTTTCAGTTTTTTATGACTGTCTTAAGTGACTCCTTTATATCCTTTTTGCTTGTGCCTCAAAATCCTCTTTGTTCGGGCAATTTTTAGAACTCTCAAATATTGACTTCCTGAAAATTGCCTTATAAGATTGATAGGGAGGGAACTGTTGCCTGTAGGATTGTATCTCCTGCTGTAGGCTTGAAAATAAATATGTAGTAATCCAATTTTTTTTAACATTGTCAAATGATAATGTTAATATTAGATTGTCACAGTTGCGGTTAAACATTGCACAAATGTTTTTGTGAACCCATCTAGAAGAGTAAAATATCATCTATATACCTTCACCACCTTGATACATTGTACATGTTTCTGGAAGGTACTCCCAAATATTTATCACTTTCCTCCATCCTCTGAGTGAGTCAGATGCATATTCATAATCTGAGGATTGATCCTCCCACACTGTATGCTGAGGCCCCAACCTAGCAACCGGTAGAATCAATCAATCCATCAGACTCAGGGAAACATGCAGATCTCAGAGCAATCAGCATCAAGACTGACTACAGTCTAGATATAACACTACATTTAATAGCGACATAGTAGACGGCGCTACACGTGCATATTTCTATTTTTACAAAATGATACATTGTTTTTCTTAGGTTTATCGGTAACCGTCCCTTTTATAAACTGTGCCTATTAACTTTACTTAGGCAGTTAACAACCATGCAAAGATGTATTGGTTACAGCAACTACAACTGAAGAGAAGAGGATTAAGTAAAAATGAACAAAAAATCAATTTTCAAAATGTGTTCTCTCCTGAATTCTTCAATGTAAAGCTTGCCTCTCATGATATAGGTATGTATAAGGTGCAGTTAGTCTTTTCAATATGTCTATGTCATGATCTTTCATATTATTCTGTTCACAATTTATTTTCAATTTATCTGCCATTTTAAAATTACTGATGTGCCTTATGCTTAAAAGAACACACAAAGAAATACCAAAAGATGTGTTGTCTTGGAAGGGGGTATGTAATTTTACAGAATTACCCATTTCTCTCTCAGAAGCCAATTTGAGTATATATCTTATGGAAATTTTCAGGTTATTCCTGTTGTGTCACAATATGCCTTGACAGTATAATTTTTCAGAAAAGCTGTACCTATTATCTTAAAGAAAAAAAACAGTACTTGACCTCCAAACATGTGACTGCCCAGAGTGAGATGGTGTCAACGGTGTGATACAGACAGTAGGATTTTATCAGTCTCTTCTCAAGCAATCAGACTGCAATATTGTAACTTTGTAGCAAGTCACAAGGTAAGAGGCTGTGGCATGACCTGATTTGTGGCATATATTTGCCAACAGGGCCAAGAACTGAACAGACACAAAGATTTACACAGTTGTGTAATCTCTGAGCCAATTTCTCCATCCTGAAAGTAGATACTCACCCTAGATAATGCCGGAGCTAATTTGGTTCCACCTTCCCCTTCCACTTAACGTGAAAAAATATGTCTAATGATGGGTCTACCTTGACATAAACCTCCTGTTAATCTGAGCAGTACAAACTGATCATATGATTAAATTAAAGTGGCTAGTAATTAGTTGCTCGTAAGTACACATTCATCTATATGGACAAATCAAGTCTGTTATTATATGTGTCTGTACTAACCTGGAGGTGAACATGTTTGCAAAAAGCCATGCACATGCCTGATTAATCCTGCAGAGCAGAATTCTCCCAATACAAGTGTGGGTTTTCTAAAGACCATCTATTCTAAATGATGGCAGCCAGTGTGTTTGTTTTCACATCCCTTGATAAGAGGACTTTTGTTCTTGTCCAGTCGGCTTGATAGCTGATATTTAACTTTTCCATCAGAAAATATAAACTTTCAGGGTTAGTCACAAAAGGGTTCACTTCTCCTGCCTTATCTAAACTCTTCACACTTTTGTGAATAGCCCTATTTGTCTCCCCTTATCCATGTCACTCACTTAAAAACTGAAGACCACCTGGATAATATCATATATTTATGGATTTGCTCTATTCTTTAATATATGTTTTTGAATTAGTAGCAGTAACTTTATTTTTATTTCAAAAGGAGATGATAATTTTTTGCCTCAAGTAAAAACACCAACCGACCTGGTGGGACTAAGAGTGGCCTCTATGCCAGCTCCTCAGGAGTCAACTTCCATACAAAACATCTCTCTCAAGCATCCATGGAAGGAAATACAGTATGTGGACATTACATTTTCCATCAATTATTGTTGGCACATGTAAACATGTTTTCACTCATGAACACCATGGGGTCTATTCACAAAAGGGTGAAGAGTTTGGAGAAGGCAGAAGTGAACAATCTAGGCCAAAATAGCCGATTTGGAGAAATTCTCCAATTCAGCTCACTTTCCAGTTCAGCTATTTTGTCCCAGATTGTTCACTCCTCCTGCCTTCTCCAAACTTTTCACCCTTTTGTGAATAGACCCCATGATGTGCATTTCCATATCAATACAGCCATAAGAATCACTGATCTCATTGGTTTAAAGACTTTATTGTATGAGACAAAATTTGCCATTTTTTTTATAGATTGATGAAATATATCACCATATATACTGTATGTTTATGGGGTATAGGGTCCTGCAAGGGTTTAAAATATTTTTTTATTTTTGACTTGTGCCTTGTGGAAAAAACATAACTTGTTTTTTAGATTTATAAAATCGTAGTTATGTCTTTTTTTCTGGTATGTGGTGCCCTCATCAGAGATCATTAATTGTTTAAGATTTGCAAAATGATTTAGTAAATTAACAGTAATAAAGAGGCTGCTTTTAGTAAGCCTGTCAAAATCACTAATCAAACTGAGCTCAAAAACGTATAAGCAGAGGTTATTTTCGGTGAAATCCGCACGTCAAATTGATCAATAGAGCCAGACATACATGCAGCTTATGTTATGAGCAAATCTTGACTTTCTCTTTAAAATGTTGATCCTGCTCCCTTGCAGTTTCACTAATGTTGATTGAGGCAGCTCACTGCACAAATGGTTAATGCATTGCGCAATACTGTCAGTCTAAGATTGAGAGCTAGGACTATCATCTATCATTCTGGTCTAGTGACTCTAGTACTTGTGGAGTAAATGACCCTGAGGCAGTATGCAGAGTTGCTGATCCATGTGCTTGCTGCAGGTTTGTATTTTTAGGCTTCAGATAGGTGTCAGTAATGGCAGCCTCTATAGTTTTCTATAGAAATATTTTATTTGAGGGGAGAGCAGAGTGACCAAGAAATGGTGACCTCATCAACGTGGCCTGGTTCCTAATTGGGAGCATGGCTTGACTGCAGCAGGGGAAAGTGAGGTCACTAACACAACTATGTGGCATAGCATTAGAGTGGCTAAGCAGAGTTACTAATCCTTTGGCAAGCAAGGCAGTTTACATGTATGTATTTTAATCATTTTTCCAAATACATATTTAGCCATTGATCTGGAGTTGTAAATAGTGGCTGCTTGAATTCTGATTGTCACATACCATGATCATATATTAGACTTCTTCATGCTAAGTATCTTTTTCTTATTTTATAGGAATACAGTTCGTAATATCTGTGGCACAAAGCCTTCTCCACCAATTAGTAGAAGTGTTTTTCATTTTGATGATTTAGAACCAGCTGCTGACGGTAAATTGTGATATTTAATTTCTCTATCCATTTAAATTCTCTTCTTGAAAAAAAAAAAAAATGGGGGAAATTTATCAAAACTGGAGCAGAAAAAATATGGAGCAGATTTGCACTTTAACAAGCTTCTTTGTCTCATTTTCAAATCTTACCTGAGCAAACTGAGCAGCACAGTCAATAAGTTGTTTGAATTACATAATTCACTTTCCACATCACAATCTCTAAATTGGGAAGGTTGTTTCTCCGATATAACATACAATATGGCAGTATTTTCTCTGCCGGGAACTCCAGCAGAACTCCAGTCAAAATATTTTCTTAAATATTAACTTTCAATCCAGGCTAAATGACAGCTACCATCATTCTGTCCTTTTCCTCTGAGTGCAGGCTGTCATGAGCCCAGGGGCGTATTTACCGCGAGGCAAACAAGGCATTTACCTGGATCGGCACTTTGCAGGGGGGCGGCATTTTTCGCCCCCTTGCAAAGAGGAAAGCTGGGGACGGGTGCACAAGATCAAGCAGCCTCGGCTGCCTTATCAGGTGGCTGCTAATGGGGCCTGGCAGTAAGCTGCCAGGTGTACGAGGAGGTGTGGCCGAGGGCGAAGCGGCCCGGCCGTCGGAGGCTGCGGTGCCGCTCCAAGAAGCTTCAGCGGCTGCAGGAAGACAAGATGGGACCGTGGGAGACACGGCCCGGGCCGGCGGAGGCTGCAGATGGGATGGTGGCTCCAAGAAGCATCGGCGGCTGCAGATGGGATGGGCCCGAGGGAGACACGGCCCGGCCGGCGGAGGCTGCGGGCGGCTCAAGTAAGATGCAGGTTGGAAACAAGATGCAGAATGGAAGCAGGCTGCGGAGCTGCAGGTAAGAGGAGCAGCATGTGTGCAGGGAAAGGGACCCTGCACAGGGTCCCTCAATCCTTTATTTTCCACAGTTTACATGTAAACACAGTGGAACATATAAGTTTTAAAGTAATTGACAAAGCTGCAAAATCGACAGAGGCACAGGCATCAGGCAACACAAGCTGACAAGACCATCAGCAATGTGAAGCAGTCAGGCTCATCCTTATAAAGTCACCTAACTGAGGCAACTAACTCACTTCCTGTGCGCCATCCGTCCGTGCGTCTTCATGCGCACCTCGCGCATGCGCACTACGGCATACTTCCCGAGATTTGGCTTTTGTGCACGCGCTGCCGCCATTGTGCCCTTACACTGGCTGGGGGTGTACAAAGGGAGGGATCCTGGATAGCCAGCGGCCCCCCAGGGGTTTTGGGGGAGGCACCAATTAATTAGATCATTAGTTAGATCACAGTCGCTATGCTGATTTAGTAGAAGGCTTTAGTAGAATTAGGTCTGTAAGCTAAAGTGTATTCAGTGGAAAATGTATATTGAATCCAATAGAAACACATTTTTCTAAAGGTATCGGATATGTCTCATAAGTAGAACGTTTAATGTACTGGACAGAATACGACTTGGAGCCTTGCCCGGGAAAAGTCTTTAATGGGTTTGACACACAGATGGGCTTATTTATAGATGCAAGGAGAAACCAGATTGGGAAGCATTCATACATAGAAGTTTATGGAACTGAAGAACATTTAAAGAGACACCTACCAAGACAATGTCAAAATTAGGAAATACAACAAAGTTATCATATCAAAATTCACAAATTTGTAATCGTAGAACAAAAGGCTCTCATGACTTGAAGTTTTAAACTGCAACTCCGCTCACCCTAAAGAAGGATCTTTTCTCAGGGGGAGGGGACAGGAAGGGCATAAAAAATAACCAGCTAAAATTAACTTTATTAGACAACGGGGAGAAAGAAGCAGAGAGAAAGGAAAGGGGGAGAAAAAACAAAGGGAAAGGAAGGGGAGGGGGAAGGAAGAGAGAAGGAGAACTAAGACTTTTTATAGTCATGATAAAGAGAAAGGAATCTGGATGAGGCAAATAATCCTGGTTTCAAGTGTCAAAATTCAGTATGCCCTCTAGGAAAGTCACATGTTTTTCCATACATGAACGTACTGGTGGGGGTATTTCAAGCAGTGAATGGTGCAGCAGAGGTACGCAGGAAACGTTAGTATCAGCAGGGAGAGTGGGAGGTGGCAGGCTATTAAGTGATTCTGTTACTTTGCCCTGAATGGACAATATATAGAATCACTTAAGGGTTGACAAATATAAATTGGAAACTTCAAACATATGTAGCATAACCACCTTTTTAGCATATAAATTCTTTATAAAATCTTGCGTACTTCAGTGTAAAACATTAACTTAATGTCATTTTATAGTCTTATTATAAAATCTTAGTGCTGTCATAAACTAGTCCAATCTCATGCTATTAAGTTATGTCCTTTATGTGATGGGAATGGTTTACATATTTAGTTTCTGTTTGATTTTCCAGTAAAAGAAGCAGGAGCAAGGCAAGTTACAAAGCTGTCTCCATCACTAAACTTCAACCGGAAGGCCAGGAAAGTAAATGGACCATCAGCCTCTAATCATGACAATTCATTGCCGGAAACCATCTCTTTTGAAAGGATATCCACTCCTCAACAACAAGCTGTAGCAGAGGAGTTAAAGTCTCAAAAGGTGCACCTTTCTGCTAGACTTAGGGGCCAATTTTTAAATCTTCTACCCAATGTATAGCTGGGGAATGCCTTTTGCATGCACTACCAATACTAGATGGCACCTAATAGGAGTTTCCTATGCTCTTTGGCTCCATATAGTGGCGATAGTGCCAATGCAAATGGTATTCACCCTACTATACGATGGGCAGAAGATTTTGAAAATCGGCCCCAAAGTATTAAGTCTGTTTTGAATCTTCATTTGTGGTTTAGAGACATGCAGTATTGCTTCCTTCTATGGTTACCTTGCCTGTCCTCTAAAGCAGACCTGACTAAAGTATAATTAATATAAGTATAATTTATTGAAAATAATAAATGATGAGGTAATGATGAGCAGCTATTATAGTTGTCTTTCCAAATAGAGCACACCATAGATTAAAGTAAAAGAAAGCTGACAGAATGCCTTTTCGTCAGTATTAAGGTACCCTTAGATAATTGTCAAGATGACAGCCATCTATTGGCACCTTCAAATCCAGTCAGACATCCCCGACTAATCTTTTCCATGACAAAAGGCGATTTGCCAGGCTTTATTCAAAACGGAATTACTGGTGTTCCATATGAATTAGGCTGGTAATGCTGTTATCTGCTAAGGGCATGTGCATGCTAAGTGTTCCTGTTTATGCACAGGTGTTTAAAAAAAATTTAATTTGATTATGCATGTAGGTCTAAAGCATGCTAAATAAGACAATAATCTCTAAAGATGGTTATGGAAGGAGTAAGGTTGCTTGCATAATGCAAATGCACTCATCTAACCATCACATGGAAAAACAGCAGATGTTAAGAGAAAAAAAAACATTGACATTTTGGATGTTCTATGCTGAATAAAGTGGAACTCGACCCACCAACCTAATAAAGAGGAACTTTACCCACCAATTTGATGTCTCCCAAAACAGTTACTTTTAACTCCTTAAGGACAAAGGCCTTTTTTTCATTTTTTGCACCCATGTTATAATCCACATTTTAGGCCTGAAAATTACTTAAAACCCCCAAACATATATTTTCTGAAAGCCAAGACCCTGTAGAATAAAATGGTGGCAGTTGCACATTTTTAGGTTGCTCGACATTAGGACAACCTATTATCAAACCCAAAACGTTAGTGAAAAATGCACTTAAAGGGTTTCTACTGCTAGCCAGCAGTAGATATATGCAAAAAGTGAAGAAACTCGAGAATCCGAAACTGCTCGGGCGGCCGCAAAGCATCTTGGGGCGGGCGCATGCGCAGTTAGGATTTTCAGCCGGGAGACGAGGAGAGACGCAAGGTAAGTCTATGGACGCGTGCACCCGCATGCAGACACCGTGGGACAGGAAGTGCTGGATCTGACACCCGCAGCAGCGCTGGAGAGAAGGATGAAAAGGACAGGAAAGAAGAAGAAGATCGGATTAAGAGACATCATTTAAGGTAAGTGCTGACATTAACATTGGGGGGAGGGAAAAAAAAATTGACTTTAATGTCACTTTAAGTTAAATTTAGTGCCCCAAAACACTATATAAAACCATTTTTTTTTAAAATATAAAAGTCGCGGTTACAAGTAAATAAATACCCAGCATGCCCAGGTTGAAAATTGTGTGCGTCCGTGAAACTGCGACAGTATTCAGTACCCTAAAAAGTCCATAGATGATGCTTTAAAAGCCCCTACAGGTCATCATTTTAGAGATACGGGTAAATTTTGGTCCTAGAATTATTGCTCTCCAGCGTGCTCGGCGATACCCAGCATGTGTAGCACGATCGTCGTTTTCATACGTAGGCTCACCCAACGCATATTTACATGATGACGTGTGTGCTCGCTGGGGGGGGGCGGGGACTTTTAAAAAAAATGCAATTATTTCTTCATTTAATTTATTTAATATTATTTTTAAAACTGTTTTTTTTAACTTTACTTTAATTGCTATCACATAGGGGGGCTTGCATGCCCCCCATGTGATAGCATATTGGCAGTGACAGGTCCTCTTTATGGTGATACTGGGGGTCCAAAAGACCCCCAGTATCACCTTTACACTCCAAATAATCTTCAGGAGCCCAGCAATAACAGCTATGGGACCAGAAGTGATGCAATACGCGTCGCTCCCGGTCCCATAGTACGGGGAGGAAATCGGACATTCACCGATTTCCTACCCAGCTTCCCGCGGACACCCAGCAAACCGATCCTGGGCCCACAGGAGGGGCAGCCGAGACCCGTAAACAAGCCGGGGGTGTGGAGCAGGGGGGGGGGCGTGTACACACGACACGTTACCGGATCGTAGAAGCGATCTGGCGGCAGCTGACCCACCAGAATCACTTCTCCTGTAATGCTGGCCGCAGGCTCTACAAAACTGAACAGAGCCGCCGGGAGTCTGTTTGACCCCCTTCAAACGTCATGACGGGATTATCCCATCATGGGTCGTGAAGGTATTAAGGCATACCAACTGCCAAGGTTACCAATGTGGTTATTTCAGCTCTCAACTGAACTTTCAAGCCCCCCAATGGCTGGTGTCATAACTGATCACATGTGCAGCAATATGGCAACTGCAATCCAAATAGAGGCTAAGATGGTGCCTTCTTAGCCTCTTTTTAGATCTGCAGTTGCCATGGCACTGCACATGTCATCAGCTATGACCAGCTTTTTGCGAGCTTGAAAGTTCAGTTGAGAGCTGAAACAAGCACACTGCCAACATTAACAGTTATTGCCAGAGGTATGCCTTGACTGTAAACGTTTGCGGAAACCGTTAACTTGGTGAGTTTAGTGCCTCTTCAAGTATCACTTTCTGCCATGGTAAGTTTTCCTAGAACAGAGTATTATGCATCTTACAGGGAAGAATTATATTTTTAACCTTCGGTTAAAAAGGCTTTACTCCATTGCTACTGTTACGAAATACTGTTTATGGGTAAGATGTCATGTCCTGTCCTTCTCCTGTGACACTACTATTGCTTTCTACTAAATGAATTGCTTCATTAGTGATCTGCATGTTTTCACCCAAAACCCACCATGGCAACATGTGATCCCACGAATTGAAAAATCTGCAAAATAAGTTATTAGGCATTTTCAAGCAGATAACCGCATGTTATGTATGTATTTTACCTTGAGATACTTTGTTGCAGGAATATTATAAATCTGCTCATTCTGTTACTTTTGTATGTCAGGGTCTTGTAAAGCTTCTGCACCGAGCTCTTGAGTCTGCACACCAGGAAAAGAGAGCCTGCAATGATTACCTGGATGCAGCAGAGGAAAAAGATAGACTTGAACTGATACGTCACAAGATTAGGCAAATCGAGGACCTAAAACAACGTGTTGAGGCTCTTGAACGGGAGAAGAAAGAACTGGAACAATGTGCTAGCTTCAAGGATTTCCACATTGCTGAACTAAAGGAGCATATTCAGTTGTTAATGGAAAAAAATCATGCAAAACAGCAAGTTATCCTGAAACAGAATGAACAGCTTCTCAGCCAGAATGATCCACATGAGTCAAACAGCATCTCAAATGATACCTTACGGCAGCCTTACGAGAAGATTGAAAGTTCAATGGTGAGATATTATAGTTCCATAGTCAGAAAAAGACACAAGGCCATCGCGTTCAACCTATAGAAAACAAAATGTAAACAAATAGAAAAACCCTATGCCCACAGTTAGCCACAGTTGATCCAGAGGAAGGCAAAAAAAACCTTAAAGAAGAAGTATTGGGAGAGTACAATGTACACTTAGAGTCAGCTTGTGTGACACTGCAGGTGTCAAATGTCAGATCTATAGATCGAGAGCTGAGTGATCACGCACTGCTGATCACTCAGCTCACAGTCTTCTTCCTGCAGAGAGCTGTGCCTGTCAGTAACCACTACGCACATGGATTCTCTCCTCCCCTCTCTTTTCCTCCAGTGACCACTGGAGGGACAGACAGGGGAGGGGGCTCTAGAGAGGCAGAGCCAGCTGTCAATCAGGCAGCTGGGTGGGTCCTGACAGTGTTGTCAAGATCTTTCCCAGCTGCAGCTCAGCTCTACGCTGTAGCTGGATGCTGACTTTGGGTCACAGAAGTACATTGGCCCAAAAGAGGACTAAAGCCCAAAAAAATGGTTTTAGTTTTCTTTTGAAGCATACTGCAACAGGGGGGGTCCTTCCTGCCTGATCCCCTAAGCCTTAGGGGATCAGGCAGGAAGGACCCCCCCCCGGCCTTAGGGCCTAAGGCAATCGGATATTCCCTGGATCAACAATGCCTCGTGTTTTTTTTACTTATAAAAGGTTAATAACTAGTTATATTCTGTGTATTTAGGAATGCATAGAGATATTTTGAAAACAATTAACTGAGCTAGATATAACAGATTATTTCATGTTTTCTTTCTGAAGGATGACATAAATGCCTACAAAACACAGAATCAGTTTTTAAACTCTGAAATCCACCAAGTAACAGAGCTATGGAGAAACACAGCTGAGAGTGAAAGCGCTCTTCTCATGAAGGTAACAGACTTTGTTTTTGTGAATGGGGGATTCCTTCCTATGGTCAGCTCTGATTAAAATGGATATTCCAAGTTTGCATGAATAGGAGCAGATTAAATTATATGGTGGCTTGTTTTATCTTTCCATGGCTGCAATAGTGAGATCTCCAACAGAGTTCACACTTTTACCCAATTGTTCTGGTTATTACAGTGTCAAAACATGGTATCACCTTCCCCTGAAGGCTTGACTATTAGGTAAAATAACAATATAACTGGGGAGTGTAGCTGCAAGACAGTAACATGTTAGTTACCAGTGTGTGCTTTGAGAAATGAGCTTTGATTTAAGAATATTAAATATAAGTTTAAATTCACAAAAATTATTATGGCAACATTTTCTTTTAAGAAGGGATTCGGTGAATTTCTTGAACAATTACAACCTTTTTGTAGATAAAACTGATGCTTTAAATGTATTTCCACTTTTTCAGCCAAATTGTGATAACACCTACTTTTATATTTGTTACATGTTCCAAATTACAGTAGGTTAACAGTATATAAAAGTATAACTTTTAGAAAAAATAAAACTTGCTTCTTACATTTATAAGTGCTTTTTACTTGCTTACAAATCCTGCCCAGCTTCCCTCCTAAGTAATGTTAAGGAGGGGGCTGTGGAAAGTTATGTTAACCCTGTCTGCACTGTGCTAGTAGATCTCATCAATTGTAAACTAGATTAGAGCACTGTCTTTCCTAAAAATGTCTATATCTGTCCCTTATCTGCGCATTGCCATCCATTCATGGCAACAAGCACTTGTGTGCAGAGTCTTATGTATAATCCTGCTCCAAAGAAACAGATAAAGGGTAAGAAATACTTATTTAAAATATATTTTATTTATGCTGTGTGAATGGGAACATGTAACAAACATAGAGTGAGGGGTTCTCAAATTTGACTGCAAAGGTGTAAATGCACTTAAAACTGTTTTGAAACATTTATACCAACCGTGAATGTGAAATTCGCCAAACATTCACTGCAGGAATATCTTCCTGGCGCATGTGTTTTAAATTACAGTGATTTATTTATCTGCCGTGAATGTTTGGTGAGTGTCACATTCAAAGCTTTATAAATATGTCCCCAAATGTTTTTTATAGTCCCCTGTTTAGAGCATCATCTAAAGCAATTTGATGGTTATCTAAAAGAGTTTTAAAAGTTATAGTAAAGTATAGTAAGTTATTGAAAGTTAAAGTGAAAATATAAAATAGTATTTATGTCCTATGTTCTTCAGCGCCATCTAGTAGCCACAATGTATTATTACAACACTACATTTGAACTGGGAAAATATATTAAGAACATTTGTTTTTTACATTATTTGCCCAAAACTAATTTTTACAGATATTCGCTGGGCCCTTCGTTTATGAATATACACCTTTATATAAGCACAATTGCAATCCAGTTCCCAACCTTTTTTTCTTGCAGTGCTCATACCTGGATGCTAGAAATTGCCAAATAGAAAGCAAATATTTAATTGTGTTGAGAAAGTTGCAGGAAGCTCTGCCATATCTGGATGCTGAGTACTGTGAAGTCATAAAAAATTTGATAGAAGATGCCTTGCAGTCTGACATGAAAAAGGTCCATAACCAACTGGATGTGCACTTTAGACCTCTCAGGTAAGTGACTGTTTAGCATATTACATTGCTGAGTCTCTTTTTGTTATGACTTCATACAAGGACCCTTACAAGTTTGTGAATTGACTACTACATTATGAGTGTATGTTAACTTTCTCGTACTACTTTAATGAGAAGAAACTGAACATTTACAGCATTAAATATTGTACAGTATGTGGGCCAACATTGTTAAAATATTATATATATAGATATAGATATATATATAGAAAACACACTGCCACAGCAATAACATTATGACCACTGAGAGGTGAAGTGAATAACATTGATTATTTTGTTACAATGGCACCTCCTGGAAGTAGGTCAGATACATTGGGCATCAAGTGAACATTTTGTCCCTGTAGTTGATGTGTTGGAAGCAGAGCAAGCATTTGCTGGGGATGGTGTGTGCTTCAGTTAAAACACGTGGTGGCAGCTATTGTTTGTGTGTGTAAAGGGTTAACCAACCCCACTGATGATCGATCTCAGTCTGCTGGCCTTGGACTGTTATCTGGCGAGCTGGAAAATCTAACTGTGATGGCTAGACAACTGGGTCAGAGCAACTCCAAAACTGCAGCTCTTATGGAATGTTCCCGGTCTGGAGTGATCAGGACCTACCAAAAGTGGTCCAAGCAAGCAAAACTGGTGAAGCAGCAACAGGCCCATGGGTGGCCAAGACTCATTGATACACATGGGGAGCAAAGGCTGGCCCATGTAGTCCAATCCAATGAGAAAGTTAATGCTGGTTCCTTTTCTGGACTGAAAATGCAAGAAAATCTGTCAGCCCTGCCTACCTGTCTACCTGTAGAAATGTGTCTGAACACATGGTGCATCACAGGTTGTTGCATATGCGGCTGCGTAGCTGCAGACTGGTTAGGGTGCCCATGCTGCCCGTGTCCACCACCAAAAGTGCTTACAATGGGCATATGAGCATTAGAACCGGACCACGGAGCAATGGAAGAGGGTGGCCAGGTCTTATGAATCATTTCTTTTATATCATGTGGATGGCTGGGTGCTGTAGGAGTTAAATGCCAGCCCTGCTGTCTAGCAAAGGAGCATTATGGTAAGGGTGTGAGGGATATAAATATAGTTTGAGTGGGGAGCAGCCACAGGAGGAGAGGGAGTGTGGGGAGAGACTGGTCCAAGGAACCATAGAGGAGCAAGCACAGCAAGCTGTATAAGCTGACTATTTCTTTCAGCTTTCTCTTTGGTAGAAAACAAAGGGAAGGAGAAATAGGTATTTTTAAGTCACTATTATGGTTGTTCCATTGCACACCTAACCAATATGTCCCTTCTTTTTGGTTTGGTGCTGCAGAAGCAGAAAGTGTGTCATCAGCACACCACCATCTTCATCATCTAATGATATGGAGTGGGGTTTGGTGATATCACTTCTGTGCTGCTCACAGTTGTTTTTACTGGAGGCTCTGTCATAAGGAAGCAAAAGCCTTACCTATACCGAGATGGCCACCTCCACACAGAGACACAGTTAAGTTAATGGCATTGTAAGTTAATAATAGGAAAAGTTCAGCTGCAGGACACCACAGGCAATACTGGTGACTAATCCTTTGCCCTCTGCCTGCCATATTTTATATTAAACTTGCCTTCAAGTGTTTGTAAACTCTTAACAACCTGTGTCCACTTATTAAACCTATTTGCTCCCTTTTGGTCTGTTGAATATACCATTGAAAGCATTTTGCTATATCTGATTAATAAATGCAAAACAAGTCTGGTGCTCCTGCCAGAAATTCAGAACTGTCCTGTTCACTCTTGTGTTATCTTTAGAAGTCAAATCAGCCCTTCCAGTTCTTTTCTTGGCCTTCAAAACACTTCTCTTGTTGGGGGTGATGTTTAGAAAAAGACAGGTAGGCAGGGCTGACAGATTTTCTTGCATTTTCAGTCCAGAAAAGGCACCATGTTGTCATCCTACAACAGGAAATTAGGAGCTGAGTGCATTCCTGGCATTTTCTGTACTTGCAGGGCCGTCAAAGCGATAAAACATGGGAAAGAATAATTGAATTATGGGAACGCACTGCATATGTTTTGGGATTTTTTTTTTCTCCTTGACACTTTCATTGGCTAAATCTGCCTTATTTGCATTCTGTAACAGTTTGTATTGTACATGAATATATTCTTATGCATTTTATTTTGTATTTCAAATTAAATTGGTCTATATGTCTTTTTTATAGTGAATATGATGACTATGGCTTTGTTATAATACCAGAATATGAGGTGGAACACTTGAAGCTTTTAGCCAAAATTCAAGCATTAGAAATTCGATCCAACAAGCTTCTCACACATGAGGTTGTGGACAAACCTTTAAGGATGAAATGGAACAGTATTGAGGAACTAAACCACTCTGCGGAACTGAAGAACTTAGTGAGGTGTGGAATCCCTTCAGAACATCGTAAACGTGTATGGAAATGGATCACTGCTCAACGGATTTGCATCAGAGAACACCATTACACTGATCTTCTGAAAAAGTGTGAGAGTTCTCAGCATCCAGCCTCTCAGCAGATTGAACTTGATATACATCGAACTTTGACCAATAACAAGCACTTCAGTAGCCCTACATCAGAGTTTATTCAAAAGCTGAGGAGGGTGCTTCTTGCATACTCGTGGCAAAATCCAACCATTGGGTACTGTCAGGGATTGAACAGGTAAAAATAGACATAAAACTGCAATGTGTTTGGAATGAAGTTCCATATTTACAAGTAAGCATGCCTTGCAACCCTGATTAAGCACATGGAAGCAACTTTTTCATCAAATGCTTTATACTTTAAAAGTAGCTAAATCATGCCTTCATTGGTATTGTGAAGGTGTTTAGTTTTTTTACACTTAAGGATGCATTGGAAGCTGCCTATATAGGTTTTTATTTTTATTTTTTTCAGATACATTTATAGAGCAATTTTTAAAGTGGGTTAAACTTGACATGCTTTTATTCAGCCTTGCCATGTCATTGTATTTTGTAACTAAATTATCTAAGCTTGTTACATCTGTAGGTATTTTTAATTATATTTAATCATTGAGGAAGCAGATACTGAAAGGAGGCCTTCCATTGCAATCCTGTTACCAAGAATATCAGTTGTCTCCGGCATCAACGCTTTCTCAGTCGTTGACCTGGAACAAGCAGGCAGAATAAAAAGTCAGAGTGAAGCCAGACGTTGTCACGTACCTGGCTGGAGACTGAATGTGTGAGGAGGCCTCCCTTGCACCTCGTGTCCCGAGGACTCTGGGGATGGGAACAGAGTCCAAGTAGACAGCCAGTGGCACGGGTGCCAGTGGTGATAACACCGTACAAGCTGAAATGCTGGTGCTTTGGTTGAACAGGGCACAATCCGAAATCCAAGTCAACGAGCCAATGTCAAACCAATCGGGCAGGAACAAATCCGAGGTCAGGGGCAGGCAGCAGGCAAGTCAAGACAAATCCGGGTCAAAGTAAAGCAGGCAGGTAATCACAGGAAACAGGATACACAGGAGAGCTGAAGATAATCCAGCAATTTGGTGGTGTTCAGACTGAGCTTATATATAGGAAATGATTAAGTTAATGTGTCACTTCCTGTGCGCCGTTTGGCGTGCTTTTTTTTGCGGCTGGTCCGTGGTGCATGCGTGGAAGAGTGCGTTTCCCAATGGTACGGGAAAGCGCACTTGGCACATGCGCAGTAGCAGGGGGTTGCTGACAGACGTTCTGACATTGACTACTTGTTAATGGTCAGTGCCTCAGAATGTAATGTAGACATCGGATTAGTGTGACAGGCAGAAAGCTAACATTTTCAGGATAGGTCAGCAATGGCAGCCTCAACAACTATCAGTCCCCTTTACAGCTCTTAAATCTATCTTGGCTGTTTTCAGAGGAAAAAAGCAACTACATGCCAATTACAGTATAAACAGTATATCAACATTATTCAAATTATTGTAGTTTGACTGCACTTTTTCAGAAAAACTCAGGGCTTGTTAACAATTAACATAAGTCCACCCAACATTGGTAATTCTGGTCTTAGTGCTTACAGGTGGATTGAACCCCACCTATTATTATTATTATACAGGATTTATATAGCGCCAACAGTTTGCGTAGCGCTTTACAAAATTGAGGGAGACAATACAATTAACAATACAATTTCAGTACAGGAGGTAGGAGGGCCCTGGTCATGAGAGCTTACAATCTAGTAGGAGTAGCAAGTGATACAAAAGGTAATAAAATAATTGTGTAGGATGATTTAATGGTAGAATTGAAAGTACTGTTATATCGAGGTGGAATAGGCTTCCCTGAAGAGATGAGTTTTCTAGGATTGCCTAAAGGTGGACAGAGTAGGAGATAAGGGGACAGATAGCGGTAGGGAGTTCCAGAGAATGGGGGACACTCTGGAAAATCCTGGAGGCGAGAATGTAAGGAGGTGACAAGAGAGCTGGAGAGCAGAAGGTTTTGTGAAGAGCGAAGGGGGCAGATTTGGTGATATTTTGAGATGGGGTGGGTGATGTAGGTTGGGGCGGATTTGTAGAATTATTTTGAATTTTATAAGTTGGGGAAGTAGAGCCAGTGGAGCGATTGGCAGAGGGGGGGGAGGGGTGGACACTGATTGGTTGGTAAGGTGGATGAGTCTGACAGCAACGTTCATAATGGACTAAAGCCCAGATAGCAAGAAATTGTGCTGCAAGTTTGAAAATGACTTGCTAAACTCTTGCAGACTTGCCAAGCTTCACAATTTTGTTGCACAATTACAGCAAGTCTGCATTGCAAGTCTCCAGACCAGTGAGCTTGCAGAGCTCTTGCTAAGACCAGCAGGACTCTTGCTGTAGACTTGCCAAGCAAATTTGCTACAAATTCAAAAAGTGTCAACTAGAACTTGTGCTGCGAGTGTTCTGCAGGTCTACAACTTGCCAGGAATATGTGCAGCAAGTTAACAAAATTACAATTTAACCCCGACACAAGTTTGTGGCAAGTTATCCTTGCTATCTGGGAGGGGGATAGCCTGCTTAAGTGGTAGGACAACAAGGAGGGAGTTGCAGTAGTCGAGGCGAGAGATTATAATGGAGTAAGTTAGAAGCTTTGCAGTATCATTTGTTAAGAAGGGACGAATTTTGGAAATGTTACGAAGGTTGAGTCAGCAAGATTTGGATAGTGATTGGATGTGGGGCTGAAAGGAGAGCTCAGAGTCAAAGATTACTCCAAGCACCCTGGCTTGACGGGAGGGGACTGATTGTAGTGCTGTTGATTGTGATGGAGAAGTCAGGGGAGGGAACAGGGAGAAGAGGAAATATTATAAGTTCAGTTTTGGAGAGATTTAGTTTGAGGAAGTGGTGTGGCATCCATGTAAATAAGTCAGTGAGTAGGTTAGTGATGCGTGAGGAAATAGAAGGGGTGAGCTGAGGGGTAGATAAATATTTTGGGGTTTTGTCAGCATAGAGATAGTAACTGAAGCCATGGGAGGTTATCAACTGACCCAGGGAGGTGTAGATGGAGAATAGAATGCTTATATCCCACAACGGCAGAAATTCTGAACTGTGTCAATGCTGAAACTATTATGAAACTAGATAAGGGTGTCTCATCCCCCTTATACATTCTCTGTATTATGAAATGATATATGAGTAGACCCACCAAAGCTGTTTAAATAACTCATAATAAATGTTGGGAGGAGCTAGGAAATCATGGATTTCAGAATCCTAAAGTCACAAAGGATAACAAGAGGCATTTGCACAATTCAACTCCAATTCATCAGTCAAAATTTATTCAGACTGTGAGGTGAAACTCAAGCCAAAAACTGTTTTTAGATAGACTGTTGTAGTGTTAGGACCACTGTCTGTGTCTATCCAGAATTGGTAGTGAGGGGAATATCCCCAATGAGGACACAGAAAGTAATAGAAAGATGAAAGCGATTTTAGAGACTACTAAAAAAGTGTTGTTGTTTGTGTCCCCATTAGAGATATTTCCAGTCATGTACTGTCCTAGTTATCACATTAGGCACCCAGAAAACAAAATCTTTTGACTGACTTTCATACCATTCCTCAATCTATTTAAAGCATTAAAAAAAGACAAGACTTTCACTTTAGCCAAAACAGGCCAACAGTGTATATAACCATGGCTTTAATTCTGTTTTAGGTTAGCCGCCATAGCACTTTTGGTGTTGGAAGATGAGGAGAGTGCATTTTATTGTCTAGTTGATATTGCTGAGAACATAATGCCACCAGAGTACTATAGTAATAACCTAACAGGATCACAGGTAAGATATTTTTAAAAATGATAATGGAGAGTACTAGAAAGCGGTTCATAGAGTCCATGGGGTTGATTTACTAACCTTATAAACACGCCACGAACAAGTATACAGCTCTGTAGTGTGTTCCCTCCCAGCATGATCTATTGGTGGAATCTAGACACCTTTGTAGTGTGTACACACCCAGCAGGTGTGTTGTGCAAAGCCCTGCATGAATTGCAAGGTGATGTTGTGTAAATTAGCTCTACATTGTGTTGCTTGCGTTGATGAATGCAGGAATGTAAATGCATGAGCTAACCATTTTTGTCTAAACTGTGAAGCAGCATTATATATGCATCATGTGCATGATTTTTCCATATATGGCATTAGTGGAAATATGCTTTTAGAGACTTTTTGGTTGATAAATACGTTTTGCTGTGTAAAAATCACACGCACCTGGTGCGTGCGTGTGTTTAGGTTAGTAAATCACCCCCCATGTGTCTTTCTTTATAAGTCTGACATTTTACCGTGCTGGCATTTACATTCATGTTGTTATTTTTCTTATTGGCAGCTACAAGAAAACTTTTGTGAACCTAGAAAATATATCTGTATTTATGAATGAATAAATCCTCTTTAGCGATCATCATATACAACACTGCCCACAGCCATGTTTTTGTACAAGTAGTATAAGGGATTTCTGATTACATATTTCCCCTCTCACCCATCTTTCCTAAGTTGTAAATATGAATACAAAGCTCAAATGATTCTGGCCTCCGGGGAGCAGCACAAAAATTCTATATTTACAATTGTTTAACTAATGAGGGGAAAGGTCATATGACTGACTACCGAACAGAGACCCCTTAAACAATGTGTTTAGTGTCACAGTCAGTTAAGGTGTGGGACTTGTTTGTCCTTTATTAAAAATAAAAAATGGTGACCTTTTTCCCAATAGAATCCTATTATTGTGCAATATTACTTGATCAAAAGAGACTTAAAGTGGACTTTCTACTTAACTGGCAGCCTGCTATCCCTCAAATACATGTTGCTTGAAAAGCCTGGAGCAGTTGACGCCATTGTGCCTCACTGCTATAACCTGGGAAAGGGGAAATAATATTTCCTTGGGAATTCAAATTTCCAGCTTTTCCTGCAGGCAGTGGTGAGGTCAGAAGCATTGAAAGGCAGGTCTGAGGTAAGTATACATTTTTTTTTGTAAAACGTTTTTATTTTTGCCTAGCATTATTATGCAATATGTATTTAAGGGGGGAAGGGAAAAAAAATTATGCTTTAATGTCACTGTCAAGCTGAAATTTGCTCAGTGGTTGGCCTTCCAATCGGCTGCCATCACTGTTCGGATATTGTTAGAATACAATAGCCCAGCAGATGATTCATCCATCTATGTTGATTAGCAAAGATGGAGGGATCTGTTATATTTTTTTAATTCAGTCTGCAGTTTAAACATAAAAAAAAATAAAACAATGTATGGCTAGCTTTAGAACCAATTTTAGCATTCTTGTAGATTTCCATGGGGCTGTGCCCCGAGGCCAGAGATGATGGTGATGATCCCATAGAAGTCTTTGGGGCACTACTGTGCAGGCACCACCAGGATAGTGCAGATTTGCGGCGCTGGACGTTTACAAACAGTGGAGTCACAGCCATTAGATAAAAATAAATTTTCACCTGTGGAGGAGGAGAGTGGATTTAGGCCAGGGTAAGGGATCAAAAAGGATACATGCACTTTGTTTTAAAGTGCACTTATCCTTTAACACTAATTTTAAGCACTGTATCTGTATATATTTTAACAAATGTACATACGCCACCATGCATATTCACAGAAATCCTTGACAAACCTCTCTTGAAAAAAAAGCTATTGATTTGTTCAGATGTATTCCACTAATATTGTTTCCACAAGAAAAATGTCCTATCGCTACTGTCTCTTATGTTCAAAGACATACTAGATTTTAGGATATGAATATGTTTCTCTGTGTGCGTTTCAAAGAGAGCAATGCTTCATAACCGCTAGATAATTTACTTATGTCTAAGTACTATCATTTTCTATGGCCACTCCAAGGTGTGCATATATTCAAAGACACTGAAAGAAAGGGATTTCTTAGTGCAGTAACGATATCAAACAAAAATTGTGAGATTGTTTTCCAGTATCACTCAGATGAGTAATGACATGGAACTCTGCTTCATTCTTAGGTCGATCAAAGAGTATTCAAGGATTTCTTTTCCGAAAAACTGCCTCGTTTGACTGCACATTTTCAGCAATACAAGATTGACCTGTCTCTTATCACTTACAATTGGTTTCTGGTGGTGTTTGTTGACAGCCTGGTTAGTGATATTCTTCTGAGAGTGTGGGATGCCTTCTTGTACGAGGGAACAAAGGTAGGAATTCTTCAGAGAGCTAACCATAATTAAGATGAAACATCTTGTGCTTTTCCAGGGTCACTGAGTATGTTACTTGAGGCAGCTACCAATTCCTTGTTTCACATTGCCTACTTCTTCCAATAACCAACCTTAACTGAGTCCTGCTTTCAAGCTCATCAAATACTTTAAGCCGCGGTAAAGGCGGAGTGTCAGTTCCCCCGAAACATATTGGCTGTTCTATGTTTCCTAGCTATGAGGGGCTACAAATATTAAAACGTTTGAAGTCTGGCACCCTTCAGAGACTTTTTACATGTGGATCCTGTGATGGTATGGCAACAATGCTGCTCTGCTCCTAAATTTAGAGCAGAGTCACCACACTCTTGTAGGCTATGTCTGCTTGCACTACTGTGTAAGTCGGTTGTATGTTGCAGAGGGCATGGCTATCATAATTGTCATTGCTGATTCTCAAGCGTGTAGCTTGTCAGTCAGCACCTGGTCACACCTAGTCCTGTCCACTGCTTTCTGGATGGACAGCGCTGCCTCTGTTGCTGAAACCCTCCCACTGTGAGCTTCTGTGCCTGGAAGGTGGAGCATGTGGGACACAATTGAAGGAAGATTTGGCTCACTCAGGGGTAGTAAAGATTTTTGTTTATTGAGGCTTGTGCATTAAATAGTAATCAGGACTTGTTTACAGTGTCATGCAGAAACCTTTAATTGCACTATAAATGACATTAGTAGTTGTAGTAGGGTTGCATCAAAATGTTGTGCATCATCATGTTTTGACAAAAATCAGCTGTTTTCTATTACATTTCTTACATTTTGACAGGTTATCTTCCGTTATGCACTTGCAATATTTAAATATAACGAGGAAGAGATCCTAAAGCTGAATGATGAAATAGAAATCTACCAATACCTTTCATTTTTCACCAAGACTATCTGCGATGGCAGGTAAACCAGAATCCTTATCAATTATTTTGTTAGTGATTATAGCAATAATAATTTATTGTGCAGAGTTTTACAGAGTATAAAGGGCATGAAAGTAATGCACTGACCAGGTATTTAATTAGACTTCTCAGTGGGGTTTGAGATACACACTAGTGTAACACTTAGTAATAAAGTAATAAGTTCTTGCTTGGCCAACAATTTTACACATTGCTCAGTTGATTTATGTATCAACTTTTTCTGAGTCAGGTGGTGCCGACAGGGCCACCCATGGTTTGATTTTTGACTGATTTAGCAGTAATCAGCTGAAATTAGAGGCATGTATGGCTAGCGTAAGATTCATGAATACACAGCGAAGACAATATACAGGATATTTGAAGATAAACAAATTGTTTAGATGGTTGACACCAAATACACAATAAAAGTATTAATAAAGAAGTGAAGTTTAAAAAAAAATGTTTTGGAACCCACTTTCTGTCCGAGCCCACTAGTAATTAGGATAGCAAGTCAGGAGAAATTTACTAGATTGAGGGACAAACAACAATAAAATCTTGACAGCTGTTCTAACTCTTCGTTCTATTTGCCTGCCAATGCAACAGAAAAAGAGAGAGCGGTGGACAGCTATTGAATTTGTGATATTGGATACATATTCAGGATTTCTGTTACAGGTAATATAATTTGCATGATGATTTTTATGTGACAATCACCTTTATTCCTACCTACAGAAATTAAACGGTGAGTTATTTCCTGGTAGGCTAATTTATTGCCAACTGCTCTTGAGGAAGATAATTAAGAGGACAAGTTTAAAATACGTGTACGATTGCTGTTGTTTCCTTTTGAGATATTCTATACTGGACCTCCATTGTCTTCTTTCCTACCTTTTTCATGCAGTTAAAATAAATGCTCAAGTAACCTCTCTTTTTATCCACAAATATGGGTAGAATTATCAGAGTCCTGTATACATGGAAACATACAGTGGGGGGAATTTATCCAAACTGGAGCAGAAAGAATCTGGAGCACTTGCCCATGGCAACCAATCAGCATCTCTCTTCAGTTTGCTCCGGTAAGATTTGAAAATGAGACAGAGAAGTCAATTGGTTACAGTGCAAATCTTCTCCAGATTTGGTCTGCTCCAGTTTTGATAAACTCCCCCCGGTATGTTATTGTAAACTGTACAGTTGTGAGAGAGATGCCTATGCTGATTTAACACTGGCTGGAACAGAAATTAATTATGTGTTCAAACATCTAATTATTATAATGTACATACCTATATCTATTGTATCACTTAGCACTTCTTGTCTTTCTAGAAAACTAATGAACATTGCCTTCAATGAGATGAACCCTTTCCCAATGAAGCATATAAGAAATCGCCGAGCAGTGCATATGGAGAAATTTAAGGCAGGCTTGGCAGAACTTGAAAAGATAAAAAAGGAATATTTTAGGCAAAAGGAAGAGCTTGGAAGTGCCAATATGGACCTTGGCGTTAGTGAGGATGAAGATGATACATAAACATGAATAAGGAACAGTTTCTAGTCCCTTAAACAAAAGTATTAAAAACTTGTCCGATGTATTTCTTAATCATGTTGTTGAAAATATATGCATCTAACAGGGTGTTTCACAAAAGGGTGAAGAGTCTGGAGAAGGCAGGAGAAGTGAACAATCTAGGACAACACAGCTGATTTGGAAAAATTATCCAATTCAGCTCACTTTCTAGTTCAGCTATTTTGGCCTAGATTGTTCTCTTCTCCTGCCTTCTCCAACCTCTTCACCCTTTTGTGAATAACCCTGTAAATGTTTTCAAGTCACTATGTACAAAAGACTAGGCAAACATACAGGATAGTTAGGTTGTTTTGTTTATATGTTATGTAACCCTGGATGCTATACTCTAATCAAAGATATTTTAATATTTAATATTTTTCTGTAAGTACTGTATATACTTTTAAATCCCATTGTATGTTCCATTTTGAACTATGCTCATGTGATGTTCCATCCATGAAATTTGAAATACTGTTTAAAAGAGAACTATGGGGTAAGTGTTTTTCCACATAGTTCTCTTAAGGGTCACGGGAAGACATAAACTAGCGTCCTCCCATGACCCAAAGCCCAGTATATCGCAAGCTACAGCTCGCAGTATACTGAGACCGCCGCAGCCGGGACGGATCCCGACATTACTGTCGAGATCCACCCAGCTGCGTGACAGCTGGCTCTGCCTATCTAGAGGCGGAGCCAGCAGATACAAATGATATCTTCACTGAACAATTTAACTGAGTGTTAATTTTAGTGAGTTTTGTGACTGTGATAAATTTAGAGATGGATTTTATAATCATGGGGCAATACCAAATTTACTGTCATAACCAAGACATACTTCCTTGCCAGTTAGAATTATTATAGAAATATGAAAAAAAAGTGTCTATCACAATTTAAAATAAATACCAACCTTTTGTACTGTTTACCTAGACTACCATTTGTTTTTATAATTACATCATATACATAATATACAGTTAAGTTGGAAAAAAAAGACGATTGAGTTCAACTAATAGAAAAATGAATTAACAAATACATCAAAACCTGCATACAGGATGTGGATGTGCCAGAGGACCCTGTGCATCTACTCTTGGGACTTCCCGGGTTACTAAGAATGCTTACTAATCATGTTCTTATGGTGGCCAGGTTTGATTGCATTGAAATGGAGACAACCTGTTCCTCCCTCCAATTTGGATCTACTTAGGAGCATTAATCATATTCGTAAACCTGGAGTATCTTACTGCTGGACTGAATAACTCTATCTCCAAGTTTGTAAAGGTGTGATCCCCCTGGAATCTCCTGGAGATGTCCCCTGGGGGTTCTTAGGTTGGGGTGTGGATGTGTGGTGATCACTGTGGTCCCACATTTTTGGAACACGAATTCTCTATCTTTACTCTCTCTCTTTTCCCTTTCTATTTATCCTTGCTTTCTGCATTAAACATTCATTTAAGGCTGCTGTCCCTATTGATGTTTGCACATTGTTTTATAGCAACGAATACTTGTATGCGATAATCATTTGTAGACTGTTGTCTAACATTTTTCTTATTCCACTTTCCATGATGATGTGTTTGTTATTCTTTTCAAAATGTTTAACAAAAAGAAAGTTAAAAAACCCCCCAAAACTTGCATACAAAGAACGTGAAACCCACAGTTTTTCAGAGGGGGCAAGAAACCCTTTTGTATTATTGCCCAATTTGGTTTAACAGGCAAACAACCCTTTCTTGCCCCCCTAAGGCAATCAAAAATTCCCCTGGATCCCTTTAAAATGTATTGCCTACAGTGTTTTGAAGCGGGGACCTTAGCATGACTTAGCCCCTAAGGCTGGGTTCACACCTAGGCGTATTGAATATGCGCGTTTGACGCGCGTTTTTACCACGATTCGCGGTAAAAAATGTGCGACAAACGCGCGTTTCCGAGGGCTACTTGCCTGTATCCCAATGGAAACACGCAACAAAAACCGCCCCAAAGAAACTCCTGTACTTCTTTGGGCGTAGGGCATTTTGTAGCGCGTTCATACGGCCTGAAATACGCCCAGGTGTGAACCATACCCATATGAAATAATGGGATTTCAGGGTTTGAGCGTTTTGCAGAGCGTTCGAACGCGCTACAAAACGCCCAGGTGTGAACCAGGCCTAAGGCCCTATGCACACAAGCTAAAACAATACTGATACATCTTGCTGACCTGAAGTTTGCCTGTCACATGAGGGTTCCTCCATGTTCTCTTTAGAGTGATAGTTGGGCATACCCATGCTTTAAAGTTGTTAAGAGGCTTCAGCACCTGCTAAATATGTTGTATGGTCAATAATCTATTATTTCAAAATAAAGCACTACCTGTCCCAAAAAACTGTATAAATGTTTGCTAGGTTAACTTCAAAACAAATTAGCAATTGTTTTGGGAGGCATTATATACAGATTTAAGGTGGTGTGGTTCAAGTTAAGTAGACCACTGACCTAATTTTGCTAATGCAGGGAAGTACATCAGGGTAACTTTGCTCCTCTTCCCCAACAACACATTCCCACCTTTCTTTTGCTCCCCTAATACTATTTTTCAACTGCCAGAGAGGGAGAAGCTGCCCCATGGACTCTTCTAATGACAATGGTGGTGCTTGGTAAATGACCCAGTGCTGCCACAATAGTGAGACACAGGGGTTGATTTACTAACCTTTTAAACACACCACGAACGTGTATGCAGTGTGTTCCCTCCCAGCATGATCTATGGGAGGAATCGAAACACCTTTGTAGTGTGTACACACCCAGCAGGTGTGTTGTGCAAAGCCCTGCAATGAATTGCAAGGTAATGTGGTGTAAATTAGCTCTATGTTATGTTGCTTGCGTTGATGAATGCAGGAATGTAAATGCATGAGCTAACCATTTTTGTCTAAACTGTGAAGCAGCATTATATATCCATCATGTGCATGATTTTTCCATATATGGCATTAGTGGAAATAAGCTTTTAGAGACTTTTTGGTTGATAAATACGTTTTGCTGTGTGAAAATCACACACACCTGGTGTGTGTGTGTGTTTAGGTTAGTAAATCACCCCCACACACTCCTTCCATACTTTGAAGTACTGGGTATTTTCCTCCACTTCTGGCACCTGAAAACAGCAGAGGGGGAGTGAAGGTAAAGTGAGTATGTGCTGCTGGGGAGGGGGGAATTATACATGTATTTTACAGCACTGCAAAATGCTGTGGTAGGTTTTTTCTGGCTCAGTGTGTCAATTATTGACTCTGGATCCAGCAAAAGAGCCCCACAGCATCACAACTCTTCCATGTTGGGGGTTGGTTTACTAAAAGAGTATAGCATGTTAACTTTTCAAAGTGAATTTCACATTGCATTGGACTTTTTACTAAGTTTAGTGAATGTGGTGAAAATACCCAATCATGTGCAAGGAAAATAAAAAACTGGGTTTTTGCTTGCAGGTGATTGGATGATTGAAGTTAGCACATTCACTAATCTAAGGAAAAAATTCCCTTGCAAAATGAAAAGCCTATATTCCCTGGTGTTTCTGGTGAGGAACCATGCTTTCACCTACCCAATGGCATACGCTGTGTGATAAACCTAAGCTTTCAAATTTTGATTTTTTTTTTTTTGGTTGACATTACCTTATTTCTGTCCTCAGTGGTCCAATGACAGTGGTTCCAGGCTCAAGCAAGCCTCTTTTTCCTATTTTGCCACTTTAGCAATTACTTTCTTACTGCTACTAACTGCAGCTTGAAGTCTTCTTTTTACAGCTGATATTGAAGCTTGATAATATAAAAGATATATACTATGCTATCCTTAGAGAGCACTGCCTGAAACAAGCCTATGGGGGTCTATTGATAAAAAATTGCCATAGATACTCGACTAAATCGAATGTTCTTATAGGCAAATTCTCACGAAACATATCTTCTCTTTATTCTGTCTCCCAGGTGACAGAGTGAATTTAGCATTTTGTCCCGTTTCAATCAGACTTTTACATTAAGGTATTTTCTCTTCTGATTGAATGTTCTTAGGGTATTTTGTCTTGAGACCAAATGTTTTTAGGGTAGTTTATCTTCCGATCAAACGGTCAAAGGGTAATTTCTCTTAACATCAATTGTTTTTTTTTCTCTCAGGATTGAATGTTATTAGAATATGCTGCATCTAGTACTGGTTATATTTAACAGATACATTCATACAATAACATGTCTAATAGTTAACATTCCGATTACATTCAATTTGACAACATTAGAGCGAACAGGATTTGCAACATGAACATTACATTTACCCTGTGAAAGGCAATTTGAATATCAGAAAATCATATTTTGCACACATGGAAAAAAAAAATTTGCAAGGTTATTATTTACATATTTTGCACAAACATCCATACAGAATGTGTTATTACTGTGCTGCTTTCTGCAATTTTGCCTTATAATAGGTAACATCAAACATTTTTTCAATAATGAAGCCAGATCAAACAAATATGTACAGTATGTCCCAGCAAAGTATTTCTTACGTTTATGCCCAAGCACTTACAGAAGGCATATCTCCAAGCAGTTGGTTGCAACTCTCTCAACTCGGCTTCCCTGAACTTCCTGTCTGGTACAAAAACACAAGGGACAGCCCAGTTTCCAGCAGCCGTCCATTTACTATCTTGGAAAAGGGAGAAGAGAGGAGGGGGAGCAAGGAGCAAAGGATTGGCTTGCTTGCTGTGCCTGTGTGTTTGTGGAGATACACAAAGCTTACTAGCACACACAAGGGTGGTTGCATAGTACCTTGCAATGGAAAGGAGCCACCTTAAACCGAAAAAAACAGAAAACGAATGCAGCCACCACATTTAAGGATTGATAAAATGCAATATATTAAATTTTTGCTTTTGAGTTTAGATATACTTTAAATACATTTAATTTTATATTTTTACATGGAATGTCAAATATTTTTATAATTCATTAACCCTAAACGCACCTACAGAAATTGTTATTTTCTATTTGGAGCAACAACGATGTCATTATTGAGGAACCTTGCTTTTAAACTCGGTCATAACACAGAATGTAAAGAATGTAGTTGAATGTTGCTGCTCTGTTGCATGTGTTTATTTTGCCACA